ATTTTTTATTTTTTACGTACATGTGCTTTTTTTCAAGTAAATTAGAGTATCACACTGCCGGCCCGACTATCTTCTCTTAGTTCGAATTTTAAAATTTGGAATATTCATGTTCTCGTCCGTGGTACCACTACACGTTTGTTCGCTTTGTCACTAAACCATACAGTAGCATTAGATCCGATAGTATCGATGTTTTTAACATTTAACTTTATAAATAACTTGTCTCATAGCCGGGGTAAATATTTACGGTACATATCAACATAGAAACATGAGCGCTCTTTTTATCGGCGCTTATTATACTTGTATGTACAGCCACAACCATGAGCTAGAGCAGAAGCTTTCAATGGATTAGTGTAAACCGTTCTGACACAAAATATTTTTACTAGATATGCTTGCATGCTTTTTTTCTTGAAACGCCTAGAAATTTCTTTTTTTTTTTTTAATTTTATCTATGCATGCAAACGTGTTCTTATGATTGCAGACGAAAATAATATAGAAAACCCAAAAAAAATACGTAGATTGGGACCTTCGGATATATCTGCTTTCTAAGATAATAACTTCTGAACGAAATAAGATATGTTCATGAAATAAAAAGCGTTTGCGGTCTAGTTTTAACCATGTAAAATGCTCAATTTATTTTTTGGGCGAAAAAGAACTTTCACAGCCAGTTTCACCATACAAAATAATGTTAATTTTTAGCTCAATTTCATTTTATCATAACTATACAAATTTCTCTAACTAATTGATATTCTGCCAACATTCAAAATATCCAAGCGCTTACTCCAAAAGGGATTTTTGACAACAGAAACGTTGTTGAGGCCCACTGTTCGCTGGTCTGGTTCATAAACACGAAGATATAACGCCAACGCCCGCGCGGAGGTATGTCGCGCGGAGATATGTCACTATGCCACTCAAAACAAACTCAAAACGGTTTCGGAAAATAAGAATTCATAAATATTTTGTCGTGTCTGTTTACACACATACACTTGCAATTCTCGGCTTGCTTTCGCATTTCGTCATGAATCGAACATGTCGAAAAAATGCCGAACGTCTCAGCACCACAGCCGAATGGTCCCAGCACCCTAGCCGAAGACCTTGGTGCTGGGACAGAAACCTCAGCTGCGCCCCTTTCGTTGTATGAACTGGCACATCTATATACTGTATGGTTAGTGGTAGTGCTGGGGACTTGAGCTTCCACCCGCCGTGCGCAAACCTCTACGGGTAACAGTACCGAAGGTGTACCGCGTTCGCACCTACACCGGCACGCCCAGTTTGACATACGAACGTTGCAGCAGCCGTCTACGTATCCATATATGTATACATACAGCTTGTGCTTCTACATCTCTACGCCGCCGCGAATACCATGCAGAGATATGGCCGAGCCATATCTACATTCGTCTTCAGACTCACACCCCCGCTCTCCAGCAGCCAGCGTACGAACAGTAGCAGGAAAAGGAGAGAGCGTTCACCGTAGCAGAGATGTGCCGATCAGTGTTGGGTCGCTATGAACGAACGAACAAAAAAGAACTATTCACTGAAATGAACGAACTGAATAAGTTCATCTTAATCGTTCTTTTTCGTTCGTTCTTTTTCATTCGTTCTGTTTTGTTCATTCTTTTTCGTTCGTTCTTTTTTGTTCATCGTTCTTTTTTGTCTGAGGGAGGAGTACCTGAATAGAAAGCAGGACCCTTTGATCTGGTGGGCACAGCGAAAAGATTTATATCCACTATTATACCACCATGCATTAAAACGTCTTTGCTTGAATGACATCAACATACAAAATTTAATCTCTTAAAACGATATCAAGCACCAAGTACAAATTAAAATAAATTTTCGAACTTAAACCGTCCAAAAATTGTAGTACTTTATTTACACATACGCTTACAAATAGAAATCAAAGCTCAAAAGAGAACGAACAAAAAGGAACGATGAAAAAAAAAGAACGATGAAAAAAAACGAACGAGCGAAAAAGAACGAACAAAAAAGAACGAACTAAAAGAACGACTTAGTTCACTGAATAAAAGTGAACGAACAAACTTGTTCAGTAAATTGAACGATGTTTACCCAACACTAGTGCCGATCACCGTTTGCCAGTGAATCTTCCGTTAAGTCGTACATCTAGGCAGTGTTGTTTTGTTAGTGAATTGTTTTGAAAGGAAGTAAAGTGCACTAATTGTTTGCAAAGTAACAAAGTAGCACAATTTCAACTTTAACATAATATAACATGGGAAAACATGTTTGTCATATATTTATTCTTAAATCAAATTTAAATAACAAAACAAAACCAAATATATTAGCTGTCTATTAATTCTTTGCAAAATGCAAACATTAGTCTCAAAAAATCTATAGCTTTGTAACAGTGAGATATAATTGGCTAATATTTTGTATGCCCACCATTGGGATCCATAACTTCCCTGAGGCGACGCGACATCGAAGATATTAGTGCATTTATGTCGTAATATTCAGGTATTTTTTGCCACTCATTAATGCACTGAACTAAATTAATTTTAGAAGTCGGGCGACGTTTGTCCACCCTTTTCTTCAGCAATTCCCACAAATTTTCTATAGGATTGAGATCCGGACTCTGGGCGGGTGTGTCAATAACTTTACTGCAATTGTAAAGCACCCAGGGGCGACTCAAACGATTTGTGCTTCGGATCATTAGTTTGCTGCTGTTTCCAGGATCAACAAAGCCCAACTTTTGCGCACTTCTTGTCAATTCATTTTTTTAAATGCCCAAAAAGAACTCCTTGTTCATTATATGGCTTCTGGGGACGCGACTCTAGTTATACCCGTACTCAGTCAGTATATACTTTTTTGAGCTTATAATTTTTTAGAATTTTATAATTTAAAAAAAAATTTTACGTTTTAATTTTTTTTCCTAAATCTGTTATCTACATCTACAATGTATATTTTACATCTAACCTGTAGATTATAGATATACCGTTTATATTCTACATCTTCTCCGCTAGGGGTTGCTCGCGCACTGAACCGGAGGAAGCAACTGAAAATGAATTTCTTCATTCTGGCTATAATTATGATCCGATCTGATTCAGATTCGGCAATCTGGTAGATATGGTCATTCTCTACGATACTGCGTTTTTATCGTATATTTAAAACTGTGCCTGCCACAGATTTTCGTCCTTTGTGGGGGCGGGATGAAATTTTGAAATACACTTGTAGCAGTGTGATGTCACATGAGTCTGGAAACCAAATTTGGTTACCCCAACTCTTATAGTCTCTGAGATCCAGGCGCTCAACAAGACGGACGGACGAACAGACAGACATGGTTATATCGACTCGGCTATTGATGCTGATCAAGAATATAGACTGTGTTCAAGGAAATAGTAGTGCCGCACCTCATCACTTTCAAAACTCTTTCTGAGACACTTCCAGTTATCCAAATTGAGCAAATGATACCTTTTTAAATAGACTGGACTGTTAGCATTAGAAAACCGAAGAAATATCTATTCATTTGAATTCCATCTTCTTGTTTTACATGACATAAGCCGAATACCCATAAAATATGCTGTTCAATGAAATAGTAGTGTTTTTTTAGAAAATTGAAAAAAACAACGAAACTCAAATAAAAACATATATTTCATGTTCTTCATGTTTCTTAAATTTGAATATCTAGTTTTTTATCAATTTGGTTTTCATTGCGAACTTGCACCGGCCGGATATGGGTCATTAATCTCTTGCCAACGCTTCAATAGGATTTGAGCCAATAATCCATTAACCACTTGCTAAAACTTGGCTCTTGTTCACGGATTTGCAGTTCCAACAATGTATTTGGTATTCCAGCATAAGATTTCGATGAGATTTATATCCAGTTGGACAGTTGGCCATGGCAAAACGTCGATCTTTTCCGATAAAAATCAATTCCTATCAATTTTCATAATTTTTGAGGATATTAAAGGCCTGGTCTTGCCTTCGACCATCGCCGACCATCCTCTAAAAAATTAGTTTTTCGCATACAAAATCGATTTCCAGCCTACTTCTTTTAGATAATTTGGTTAAATACAATAGTGAGAGTGCATACAACTTAATTTTCAATCCCATTATACCACCTGCCTTATGTTTTTAGCCTAACTCTTAGGTATCCTCTTCTGGACCGAGCAATGATTTCTTCAACGCTCCAAAATCAAAAGTACCGCTATGTCCAAAACTTTCTTTCATCAAATTATTCGATATCTGAATTGAGCTTGCGGATGGTGACTTATTTAAATTAATTTGCTTTGTTTTTTCATTTTAAAAAATAAATGTAACCCAGCACTACTATTTCATTGAACAGCAGATATCATGGGTAGTTGTCTAAAGTTATGAAAAAGAAGAAGATGGAATGAAAATGTAACGGGGTTTCTCCAAGTTTATAATGCTTACATTCCAGGCTTTCCGTAAAGGTATCACTTGTTCAATTTGAAAGACTAGAACTATCTCAAAAAGAGTTTTGAAAGTCGTGAGGTGCGGCACTACTATTTTATTGAACACAACTGTATATACTTTATGGGGTCGGAAACGTTTCCTTCTCTGCGTTACACACATCCACTTTTACCACAAATCTAATACACCCCTTAACTCTTTTTTGAGTACGGGTATAAAAAGCTAAGACTAAAATTTCATTTTGATATAGGCAGTGGAACTATTTTTGGCCGATGATTCCATACAAGACCGTCTACTGTGCATTGTGGCAACTGAAATTCGTGATTTTAAAGGCCATCTTAAATAATACATTTCTTTCAAACACTAAACTGTACCTCCTTTTTTTAATAAAATAAAATGTATTTAGTGTCTCAAACGATCAGGATTTTAATCCAGATCATTATTCGATAACTGCTGGGGCATGCCACTAACTGGCATAACTACATGGTGCGGACATGAATTCCACTACCCCCGTACAATAATAGGTATACTTTCAGGCTGAATTGCAAGGTACCAGGTACGAGGTGCCCCCATCTCATATTCCATTTTAATATAATCATTATCTTATGGCCAGAACAACTCTATGCCCAACCCACGTCCAGATTTTTTAGCTGATTCTGCTGCACCAACCAATCGTGTAGGGGCTGGAAGTAAGCCAGCAACCCATCAATATTGATGACAGGCTCACCCACCAGCTCCTGTAGGACATCGCTGTAGGGCACGGATGAGCCCAATGCCATGGCTCGCTGTAGACTGGCACCGATCTGGCGCTGGTCAGAGAGATCGCAGAGATCCAAAGCTCTCCTGGGATTATCCTTTTCAAACTGCAGCGTCGTTGTGCAGTAATGCTTGAGCAGCTGAAACTGTAGAACGATGCTCAGGATATTACTGAAATGGATAATTGTTGAACACTTTTGCTAGGGATTGTCCACATTGGCTATCAACCTGGAATACTGGTCATCCACCTCCATGAGCAGCTTGGCCGGGACGTCAAACTGTTCGTTGCTCCGCTTCCGAGGGGCCGCTGCTCCCGTATAATGTTCCGTCAGTCGCCAATAGGCCTCATTGTCGTCCGCTCTGATGTGTCCACTTAGGACCTCCACGCGGTACCGATCGAGGACATAGAAGACGGGGAGCAGGAATACCACGCGCAGACCCTGCACATACAAGCGGTTGAGTCGAGCGGGCAACTCGAGCCACTTTCCCTCCTGCAGCAAGCCCAACTTCTGGAGGTAGCGTGGAGAGGTGGCCGCCAGGGAGAAGCACTTGCCAATGGCATCGCCGAAGTTGGGAAAAGGTTCATCCCGTAACAGGGTTGGCTGCCCGGAGGCAGCTCGGTTGTAGTAAAGATCACTATGGGCCTCAAACATATTTAGGAAACGCTCCTCGTCATTTAGGGGACAGTAGGTGAAGTTGGTTCTGGGCAGGGTGTAATACCGCCAGACCTTGTGCCAGCAGCGGTCGTCGTCGTCTGCAGCCACTGGCTGAGCATTTTGCCAAAGGGCGCTGAGGGAGAACACTTAGAAAAATCTTTGCTGGAGAATATCTTTTTTAGTGGAATTACCTTTCGAGCAGTGGCAGACCAAGTCCCCTAAAGTACTCGGCCACATTCCAGAACACTCTCTGTGTGGTGCTCAACCCGCGACGATGGAGGTCTTGGGTGATATTTGCCAGCCCCGTCTGGGGCGAGGGTAAGTCCACATACCACTCGGCACGAACCCGTCTAAAGGCGTTTCCTATGAAGACTTCGGCCAAATGCTGTGGATAGGGTCTGCCCCGGGGCACCAGCCGTTCTCCGTGTATCTTTCTCAGGGAGCCCCTTACATGAGCGTGGAACTGAAGGAACAACGGCCTCAGTCCAGCCATCAGCCGGTCCAGCAATGTCATGGTCTGCGCTCCACTCATCTCCAGCGATCGGAACCAATAATCCTCGGCTCGCGGATATCCATTGAGTTGGGCGGTCCTCTTATACAGCTCCATGAAGGCCACGAACTGACCCCGTGTGGCCAGTCCAGTGCGCTGTCGCCACTCAAACCAGTAATACTCGATCTCATCCAGGTCACGGCTTTGCTGAACAATTGCCTGAACCTCGGGTATTAGCCGCAGAGTGCAGTTCCCTGGCTGCTTATATGCGCAAAGTTGGACGTTGCGGTAGCTGTCGCTCATGTTGGAGGCCAGAGCATAGACTTCAGTCAGCTCCATGCCACCCAAGGCCTCGTAGCCCAACTGAGGCATCCTCGCCAGCTGCCTATTCTGGCTGGCATCCCCCAGCTGCAAACGCTTGAACTTTGCCACCTGCCGCGTCAGGGATTTCACGTAGTTCAGCAGCTTTTCGTCGGCTATTTCCATTTCGAGGAGAGCCACAACATCGTTGGTTCCTCGCAGCTCATTCTGCAACTGTGCCAAGACCGCCTGATCATAGATGGCGGCTAGTTGTTGATTGGCCTCGGCTAGGAAGACAGTCAAAGAAGGGTCAGCCGAGGTACTAGCCTGGACAAGGCCCCCAAAAGTCTAAATGGAAGGGTCTTTAGGTTGAAGTCAGCTCCTTAAATATCTGCTCTGGACTCACCAAAACCACCAACAACTTCCACATAATTCCACACTTTCTACTGGTACAAATTCACTTTCGCAATTCAGTTCGTGGCTCATTTAAATTCCCGTCACTATATCAAACCTTTGAACACTTTTCCAGACGTTCTGCGCCGGCGCAACTCTCGATAGCAACTAACCAACGGAGGCCGACGACAGAAGCCTTGGCCAGAAGCCCAGACGGCTGCTTGGCTGAGCACCCAGTAGCCAATTTGTAATTATAATCAAGTGGAGCATAGAGCGGGTATGGCACTCTCCCAATATTCGCAGTGTTCCCAGTGCTCAGCATTCTGCTGACTGACTGAGGCGCGAGTTGGCTATAAGAAGTACAATTACATTTTAGGCAACTATCATACCCACCCAATCGACGTGTATTCTCTGCTATACGAGTACACCTCAAACATTTGTACAACTCCCAAGAACTCGTTCGTATAATTCATTTAAAACTGGTAAGGCAATTAGAAACTTTATTGAGCAATGAACTGTGTGAGAACAAAAAGTGTTTCAATTAAGAGGCCACACATTCTGAAATACGAGTAAAGGGGGGAGAGGAGTTGGGTAAATGGGTTATCTAGAGTTCGGTGCTGCATACAAAATCGGGAATACAAAACTTACTATCTGAAGCGGTCCAGCCGATGTGAACACTGTTCTTGATGTTCTCCGCCTCCAGCCAGACACGAAGGGGCTCGAAGTATTCGGCAATGGCCTTGCCAGTCATGATGCGCTCCCCGTTGAAGGCCTCCAGTGCATCGGGCCAGGGCTTCGAGGCACCCAGAGAGAGCATGTTACTGTGGAGTGTGGAGTACAAAAGATTCCCCAATGGATTAGCACACAAGCCAACTAATTTGAGAGCAGTACTTACCGGAAGGCTTCGCCTGCTGCTGCACTGCCGTAGATATCACAGTTGTCCAGGGGCAAATCCGGATTGTTGGCATCGTATTGACCAGCCTTGATGCAGGCGGACTTGTAGAACTGGAACTGGATGATGAAGGAGACCAGGTACCTGCAAGAGAACACCAGATCACGTCACCCCTGAAGTCACACCATCAATGAGAGGCGAGCCAACAAACCTCAGATACTCGACATCGGCAGAGACGTGATATTTGGCCGGGGGATCGAAGTCCTTCTCGCTACGCACAACAGGTGGCTCAATGCCGGAGTACTGCTCACGCAGCTTCCAGAACTCGCAGTTCCAGTTGGTCTTTTCGACCTCCCCGCGGAACAGCGCCCAACGGTACTTGTCCATGGTGAAGGCGAACGGCAGGAAGACGATCTTGTCCAGAGCTGTGAGGAACAGCTGGTTGATGCGGGCCTCGTCATCGCGAACATAGTTCGACAGCAGGCCAATCTTCTCCAGATGCTTGGGCGTGGACACGGACAGGGAGAGCACGTCCCCAACGGCTTCATGGAAGCCAGGATTAGCCCCGGTGCGGTAGATGAAGGGCAGGTGCTGGTACTGCAGGAAATACTGAATGTGACCCAACTCGTGGTGGACTGTGAAGAGCTGATCCTGGGTGACGCGGGTGCACTGCTTGATGCGCACGTCGTCCTTGAGGTAAAAGTCCCAGGCACTAGCATGGCAGATCAAGTCGCGACCGTCCGTGGGCTTCTCAATAATCGACTTGTCCCAGAAATCCCTTTGAAAGATTTGGAATGGATTTGGACCCACGTTCGGTCTAAAATCATTGCAATCTTGGACTTACTGCGTCAATTTGGTGAGGTTCATCGAGGTGAAAAAGTCATCGCCCATCTGGAACATCTTGAGGGCGGTGTAGCCTTGCTTCGCCATCTCCTCGGTAACATCGACCAGTGGCTTCTCGGGGAAGGGAGACACAATGTCCGCGATCTCAGACCATTGCTGCGCCCACATGTTGCCAAGAAGATGCATGGGAATGGGTCCGTTCTCAGAGACCACATCGTTGCCATAATACTTCCTTAGGCGATAGCGCACATAGCCATGGATCTGCTCATAGAGCGGGCGGATCTCGGCGAAGATGTTATCCAGCTGCTGTTCGAAGGTGTCGTCCTCGTACTCATCCAGCCAGGCCTCGGCGCCAGAGGTGAAGTCTGAGAGAAGGGAACAAGTGTGAACGGGATTCCAGAGAAGTCGCAAGCCAGTCCCCACTTACTGTTCAGTTTGGCAGCCTTGGTGTTCAGCTCCACATAGCGCTCGAAATTGGGGCGCACGGCCGTGCCTGCCTTGTCGTAGAACTCGCGCCAGTAGTACTTGAGCTCCTCGTGATCCCGGCTCTTGCTGATGATCTCCTCTATCTCTGGATCCAGGGCCAGATCACATTTCGACTTGTCCTTGTAGTCGCAGACCTTCACTTTGGCAAAGTTCGACTCCATGGCGGATAAGGTTTCCAGGAAATCGGCATACTCCGCTTCGGGCAGGGCGGCATATCCCAGCTTGGACAGGGACTTGAACTGTCTCTTGATATCCTCCGATTGGTAGCTGCGCCACTGGAACTTCTGTATATCGCTCGACACCTCCTTCATGAACTTGGCCAGTTCGGCAGAGATCTGGTTCTTTTTCTTTTCGTTCTCATCGTTGATGTTGGAGGCATAGGCCCAGGCAGCCTCTGTTTCCACGTTGGTGCGCTTGGCCAGCTCCTTGTTCAGATTCTCCAAATACTCCTTGGCCTGAATCTCTTCCTTGACCAGGGCTTGCGCAAGCTAACCAAAGAACATGTACCATAATATAGCTACAGAATACATATATTCCCCACTATGTGATTTTCAGACTCACCGCCAACGTAGCCAGTAGGGCTAGCAGAAACACTTTCATCTTGTTCTCCAAAGCGCTCGCCTACAAAAATATAAGTCAAAATTTTTTAGTTTAGATTATAATCGATTCCATTTTTATGGGTTTTTGTGCCATTCAGATGACGTACGATCGCAAACCCAGGCTGTACGAATCGTCAGAGTGTCTGAGAGCCAATGTCTTTCCCCGTAATTAATTAAAGTGTCTCTGGGGTCAGCTCGCTCTGACTTGCCTCGCTCTCTATATGCTCTCTATGCTACAATATATATAATGTACAATTCCTGAGTGGAACAGATTCGCCACGGCACTTCAAATAAGAAATTCGTTTCACAAATCGCGATAGAAAATCGCCGTTGATAGTAGATTAGTTTCACTTATTTATACCCGTACTCGTAAGATACAAAATCAATTTACGCCCGACAAACAAAATGAAATGAGTGTGAAATTATGAAAGCAATTTGCGGTGAAGTTCTAAAATAAACTGGTCGTACACTGATTTATTATAATTCGTTTTGCTTCACAGCCCTAATATTAGTTAGTGGATGAGTAATTTTCCGCTCTTCCTACAGAGGAGGAACGGACTAATCTCCGATCGTCAAGTATGCCTATACAAATACGCACACATTCATTGCCCTTTCCAAACCAACATACACACGAGTATCGATACAAAGATCGTAAATATCCCCGATAAGGGGAACTAACTACCGCAAAAGTGTGTGAGATATTCTTGAATTTACGACCATGTCCATTCGAATGACTTTTAGTAAATATTGTCCGAGCCGTTTATTGGCTGATCTAGATAAGATTGGAGTTGGATTATAGTGGAAAGTGGAATTTATAGTAGATAGCCGCGCTGATACCGTCAAACGAAGCAATAACTCGAGCAAGTAATTAAATTACAATCACTAAAATGATTATAGGCCACAATTACGATTGATAGCTAATTGCAAGGCGAATGCTCAATTGAAAAAGAGAAACTTACGTTCTGAGCGTTCGTGATTTGCCAAACGAGCTCCGCCGAACAAAAGTGAACTTGACCGGACCGCAAACGAACTTAAAATGAAAATGTTTGGATGACATTGCGTCTGTTTTATAGCCACGAACGGCAATCTGAATCGGCCGACCGAGCCATTATAAACCTAAGCCAGTCGATCGCAGCGCATCGCGACGCGGAACGACGTGACCGGAGCTAATCAACCGAACGGCCGTCTCCGAGAGAAACATAAAGATAGATATATGCGAGCATTACTTATTCTATATGGGAGCGCAGCGCACCCAAGCCGCGAGGCTCTCGGGAGATACGGCGCTCAGTCTCAGTCTGAGCCGCCGCAAGGCTCATTAATATGCCTGGCACATTTCTTCGCTGGCACCTTAATTAGCAAATACCGAAAGAGGATTAAAAAAGAGAGACGCAAACGCAAGGTGATAATTTGTAATTTGAACAGAATAAAAAATCCCTAAATCATTTTTGGCACTTTGGCTTGGAGATAGCAATAATTACCCGGGCGTGGCGTGTCATATGTACTTTCTATATTTCACTTATGTATCTGTTGACGCAGGGAATTAGTTCGTGTAACATGTTGGCGGGTGGTGAGTGCAGCGCTGGCTCCAGCTAATCCATTCGTCAGTGTGAAAAATAGTGCAGTATGCTCCGTACAGAAGGGTCAACAAACTGTAAGGCATCGCCTCGCGCCCCGTAAGCGGACCTGACCTAAAGAATCATTCTAAATCAACTGATTTTTTTTCTACCAGCGTCAGTTTATTCGCCTATTCGTATAATTTTTTACATAATTCACAAAGATGTGGTCAAGATCGGACCACAATTTATATGTTCATATATGTATGTATGTGTATGTATGTACATGAGATTGGCATAAGAAACAGACCCATGATAAATACAAACATGCTTGATCGATCAAACAAACATGGCTTATCTGAGGTAAGCTTTATGCTCTCAGTACATTTAGCACGAAACAGCCAACGCGCTGCTTGTAACTTACAAAATATATTTCTGCACTCCAGCTATTCTATCCTCTTTCCACCTGATAACAAATATTCTAGCCCGGGTATAAAAACCTTATGTGGAAAAGCAGGCCGTTTAAACGAGAGAAATGTTATGCACCAGTTTAAAATTTTAGGTTGTCTTTTTTGGTTGGGGCTAGGTTTGTTTTGGATTCTCCTTCTTGGAAATTGGTGTTAGGTATTTATTGGTGTTTTTCACATGCCGAATGTGCAACAACATTTTTGAGGCTGACATTCCACTATGAGGGTGCCATTTCACTATATTTCACTCTGGGGCGTCTCAGCCACTCAGCACTTTTCTCTTTCTCACTTTCTATCCTCGGACTTACCCTTAAATGATAGGAACGTCGAAAACTGAGCACAACAATTGTTTGAAAATTTTAATTTTGCTCGCCACACACGTCTGTCACTTAGAACGGCCGACAGTGAAAAAAGCCCGCTCGCTAGCTCGGCTGCTTTTTCTTTGAACCGATAATTTCAATCTACGATCGTTCTCCACGAAACTAGTCACTCTGTCTATGGATGTTTTCACTTAAGTGTAACCGCCAGGGACGACAAGCTATAGTACTATGTTTTTATTTTGTATGTAATTATATTCAAATTAAAAAATGGAACATTTGAACATCGCGCCCATTACCGATATACAATGTGCCATCGCTTAATAATGCATGCGTTTGCCAACACTGACTAGTACGTGACGTACTCACTACACTTCAGACCAATAGTCTTGCTCTCACTGCATGGTTTTATCATAAGGTTTTCAAAACTTGTGGTGTGACCACACTGCCTTATTTTATAAACAATCCAATAGAATCCTCAAAGTTAACCAACGCTCTAGAAAATTGCTTTATACATCGGACAAAATTGTAAGCTAACTGCTGAGGGTCCTAGCTAGCTATTAATATTAGATCGAATATCAAAATCGGGGAATATGATTTCCATCAATAAAATAGAACGTTAACCCATTGTCGACCAGTGGGTATTTCGATTTACGCACGATTATTATACAGCTTGAAACATATTTTACGTATTTCAGGTGAAAAAACATCGTGATCGTTTTGCTTGTGAATAAGTATAAAAGATAGGATCTACAAGAAAAAAATACAAACAATACGTTTTTCAGCTGCTTAGCTCAATGTGTTCAACTGTTTAATTAAAGGGGGTTGTAGTGAGTTAAGTTCGTTCGATAGACCGCGGGTCAAACAAAGAAACGTGAAATTTGCAGAAACGCACTCATAAAACAATCTTAAACTGATAAAAGGTAATGCAGATCATGCAGGTAAACTGCTTATCGACTACCTGAGCGCACGCAGGTGGGTGGTGCAAGAAATATTTCGTCACATCGGAAATACCAGTGCAACAGCAGCAGCAGCAGAAGCTGGCGCAGGAGCATACGACTAGCAGCGCCAGAAAAGCAAGCAACACCGTGTTTAATTGATTATTCAATAAAACACCATCAACGAAGGTGCGCGTGTATTTGTGTGCGTCATCAGTTGACGCAAAAAACAACAACAAAACAAAGCCATAAAACGTAAACGTAAAAAGAAATTTCATTTGAACAACAATTCGTCAGCAAAAAAGAATACGGGGAATTTCGAGAAACAGCTGGAAGATAGAACCATACTCGGCTAACATTTGTACGCTCATGCGAGTGTAGTTGTTGCAGAGAAATTTTGTGTATTTTGTGGTCACGTCACATGTGCGCAGAACTAAAATTTTGCCTTCGTTTTCTCCCGCAGAATTTCGTTGGTCCGATATGGAGTCGACACTTAGCTCCGGCGGCTCGAATGCCTCCAGCGAGTGCGCCATGGAGGCGGGAACCACTCGCAGCCGCTGCCTGGAGCCCGCGCTCAACAGCAACGGGCACTGCGGCAACGGCAGCGGCAACGGTGCTGCCCTGCTTAGCCAGGAGGTGAAGGATTTGTACAGGTAAGCCATTCATACGAATCCAAGAAAATGAACCGAAAGTAATGTAATTGCCCTCGACAGATCGCTGTACACTGCCTCGAAGCAACTGGACGAAGCCAAGAAAAATGTGCAAAGCGTGGAGCAACTGTTCCAGCATGAGATCGAGGAGAAGCGCTCCCGGCTGGTGCACCTGTGCAAGCAAATCATCTTCAAGGATTATCAATCAGTGGGCAAAAAGATCCGGGAGGTAATGTGGCGACGCGGGTATTACGAGTTCATTGCCTTCGTGAAGAAAAACTGGCACAAGCAAGGCGTGGACGCAGACACCGCGCAGGAGAATATGCAGAAGCTAGAGCGCTTTCTCTGCGCTGGAATTTTCAACTACAAACGCCTCTCCTCCAAGATGGAGGAGATCTATGACTTGGATCTGAAGTATCTCATCGACTTCTCCATCATAAGCGATGGCTACATCAGCGACATGATAGGGGAGCCAAAGGAGCCGTCGAACTCTTGCACACAAGCCGTGGACAAGAGCCTGGAAGCCGTCTCCTTTGCCCTGGACACCATCCACTCCTCGCTGCTGAGCCTGGGCGACCTTCATCGCTACTTTCTTGACTTCCGCATCGACAGTAAGCTGAGCATCAGCAAGGAACAGGTGGCCAAGTACTATCTGGAGGCCTTTAAGCTAAACCCGGCCATCGGAATGGCCCAGAACCAGCTCGGCACCCTCTACTACGGCCAGAACTACGATCTGGACTCCACCTACCATTACCTCTACTCCCTGGTCTGCATCATACCCTTTGAGCTGAGCGAGAACAATCTCAACAAGCTCTTTGCCAAGCACACCGAGTACTTGGAGCAGATGGACCCAAACAAACTCGACTTCAACATTGAGGACTTCTTCGCCCGATTCTATCTGATCGTGGACATCTTCTTCTTCGACAAAGAGGTTCCCGACTTCAATGCCCTCTGTCACTGTGTGCTGATTGACCTGCGCAAGATTCTGTGCTCGCAGCAGCTGCGCATGCCGGAGCCGAGCATTTACAAGATCATCTCGATCCTGTTCTTCTGCCTCTCCAAGCTCAAGATGATCAACTCGCCCAAGGTGTACTCGTTGCATGCCTTTCTGGTGGCCGCCTGCTCGGACCTGATGGACGCCTGCATTGTCAGCATTGAGCAGACGATTCTGGCCCGCTCGGCGGACAACGAGCAGTTCCAGGCGGACTACGAGCAGCGATTCGAGGAGTTCGACACCCTGGTCCGCAAGTCCCGCAACGAGTACAAGAACTGGCTGGCCGCCGTTGGGGAATGCGAGCGCAAGGACAAGAAACTGATGCCCCGACCACACTCCCTCAAGGATTGCAGTTCCGATTCGCGCGACAGTCAGCGCTCCGTGGACGATGCGAAGACCCAGGAGACAGGCGACGGCGAGAAGAACCCTGAGCCCATCTCGACTCGCTCCAGCGACGAGGCCAAGGAGAGCGATCTAAAGACGCCTCTCTCCTGCAAGAGCAAGCGGCGGGGCATGCGCCTGCGCCGCCGTCGCCGCAAGATCGCCCAGTCGGACGATAGCTCCTGCTACGACAGTGAGAGCGACATGGACACGGACTTCTACAGCGACGAGGAGGACTACACGGACCTCAGCTCCAACTTCGATACTGACTTTAGCGACATAGATGCTGCCGACCCGGGGGAGCCGTGCGCCGAGGAACCCTATGAGACAGGTGAGCTGTGATGTCTGTCCATATCTCTGGTCTAGCCCAACTAATTCTCCATTCTCCACAGCTTCTTACATCAAAAAAGAGCGCAGGTCAGCAGGCGGAGGCTGTGGCAGCGATTTGATAGCCGACGATTTGGACAACGAGGATGTGGTCATTGAGGAGGAGAAAATTATATACCCCGAGCTAGAGCGCAGACCCAATTCCCAGGAAGCAGACTCCGAAGAGTTGTTGCACAGCTTCGAAGTGCTGCAGCTGAACTTCAAGAGCGCCGAGGAACAGGTGAAGCCTGTGGAAGTAGAGTGCCCAAAGCAGAATGTGGCGGATCGAGAGCCAGAACCAGGACCAGCACCTGAACAGCCCGTAAGTCTATCGGAGCCACCGAAGAAGCTCATCTATCGCAACAAGTACACAAAGATCAATCCAAACATCATCATTGACTGTCTGCACAATGAGCCGACCATCAGAGCCCTGAAGATGCTCTTCGATTGGCTGCGCGTTAATCCGGAAATACTCATCGGCTGCTACCACTCGAACCCCGAGTTCGTCCACAAGATCATGAAGCTGCTGAACTACTGCAACATCGATGTCTTCACCAGGAAGGTTTACTTCGAGCGAGAGCTACTGACCACCTCGAATGTGCGGGAGGCCCTTGTTGAGCTCTTCGATGTGCGGGCCAATGTTCCGCTGAGCGAGGACTTCACCTTCAAGAACTTCGACATCTTCCAGAGCACCCAGATCACCCTGGACTGGGAGACGATCATCAGGGAGCGCGTCACGCCCCAGGAGGAGTCCATTCTGCGCATCTTCAAAATGGTCGACTTCGGCTTTTTCATTTGCAAGCAGAAGAAGTTCAACTACAGGTTCTGTGTGAAGACGCGACGCTTCACCGAGAACCAGAAGAAGAAACAGCGCGAGGAGAAAAAGGGAGGCGGCTCCCGGCGCCGAGAGCGCCGCACTGCTCCGAAGACCACTCGCAAGCGTAACGAGGGACGCACGCGCCGCTACTCGGATCGCAAGAACGGCATTGTCCGCAAGAGCTACACGAGCAACGAGGAGAAGGACACCGTTGAGGAGTGCCGCAAGATGCCGCGCAAGGGCTACCTACGGAATCGCAATGCCGAGAAGGCAGCGGCTGTCATCGCCAGTGCAACTGGCACATCAGTGGCCGGGGGCACATCCGCCTCCACCACCACCAACAGTGTCATTGAGAAACTCAATGTTCAGTCCAGCTCGGGGGCGGATGAGGAGCGCTCCGAGGCGAAGTCGAAAAAGTGCGAGCTAATGGGCAAACTCTGGCTCCAAAACGAAGTGGAGACACTCGAGGAGGAGCTGCGAGACAGTCCACCCCATGTGGTGATGTCCCCGTTTGTGGTGGTCGATTCCAAGGCGTTGACCGAATACAATGGCATTGTCAAGTCGTTGGTGAGGACCAAGAAGTGCATTGTCCTGATACCCAATGCAGGTGAGTGCACTAGAAAGTGGAGTGTAGTGGTCGAAGCCATTAACGTAATGTGTTCTGTTACCCCCCATCCAGTACTCAACGAGCTGGACGATTTAAAGAAGCGTAGCGAGAATGTGCGCCATGTCATCCGCTGGCTGGAGCAGGAATTCAAGCATGGAAACCGTCACCTGCGCGCCCAGCGCGACAACGAAAGCCAGCCGCTCTCCTTGCTGAAGATTTCCCGGAAGATGGGTGAGTCCCGTGATGTCTTTTCTCAATGGACAGTAGCTTTAATTGAATTGTAATTCTTGGCACAGATCGCGATGCTTCGGTCTTCCTGCAAATTGCTCAGTTTTGCAACCATCTTGTGGCCAACCATGCCGATCCCCATGTCAGCGAGCTGCAGAAGAACGTGGTCACATACTTGTCGGGAGATAATCTACATGAGAAGAATCGCCAGCAGCAGAACTTCAGCTACACCGGGATACTCGACTCCATACCGGCGCGCTACGCACAGATTCAGAGCTTCTACTCCAAGTTTAAGGCCAACAAAAAATGAAGGGGCCTGAGCGAAGCAGTATCGGTAGCGGGCGCTAAGGCGGCAAAGACAAAGGCAAAGGCAACTGCAGATCAGATGCACTGCAAGCAAAGGGTGCGAGCGTGTTCTCTCTGTACAACCACAAAATCGACATGGAGCTCCAAAGTTAACGAAATCCGTGGCCAGCGGGCCGCGGCAAAACAAAATCAGCAATCGCTGCTGCAGCCTACGTTGCGGCTGTGTCCCCATTCACAACTGAATCTGTTACCATCAGCGGGAACAGGATCCCTGCCCCAGCCCACGCAGCAGCAGCAGCAGCATTGCGTGGAATTTGCTTGTTGTGTTTAGACAAAACAAATACTAAAATACCAATCAAAAAGCGTTCACTTTCGACTCAATGGCAACAATGATGACGACGACCAGGCTCAGTTAAACGGAAAAACGGCAACCAAAACACTGGAAAACCCATACAAAATGAAACAAAAATGGAAAAAAAAAACCAACAAATAAAAATGCAATATTAAAAATTAACCTTAGAGCAGGCGAGTGCCTCAGACGGTTTGCGGACAAGAACGAGATGATCCTGATGAGTCCAAGAGGAATGGATGAAGACGATAAGGAAGACAGCGACCAGAACTGTTTAGCCTCCGATCGGTTTGTTGCTTCATGTACAACACACAAGCATGGTCCACCAGTATCTTGGTCTCGTCTGATTCGTTTTTGACGCTTGCTTCGCCCCTCATGCAGTTGTGTTTCGTTTTAAATTTCACAGTTTGAGTAAAATTACATTGCACGCTTAAAACTTCACACAATGCGCGTGAATTACATATGTTATATTACAATTTACATTATAATGCAACCCCAACTAAAGTTCAATTCTCGGACCGGACACATTGGAACTTCCCATAAACGAAGAAGAGACTCGCGTAAATATGTACACAAAATTCTACATCATTTCAAATGTTCCCAAATTGAAAGCTTGTTAAATTTGGTTCAATTAAATAAAGCTCCCAGCCACAAAAGTGTTTTTCTTTGTTATTTCAAAGCACAGATTCCAAAGTTTGTCGAAGGATTTACAACTAACCGAAACAATTTCCTTGGTCTTCGTCTTGTGGATACACTACCATACGAGCAGCAATTCAGCATTGAGTACCAATGTCTGTCTTTCGTTCATAGCTAATGACAAGCAGTATACAGTGCGTTGCAAATACACATGTATACATATGGTCAAGCCCCTAATTCCCTATGCACTGATATGAAAACGAATAGCCGCTATTCCAGATATTTAAAATACTGAGAATAATTTTAATTTAATCAAACATGACAGTCCGTCAGAGGCCACATTCTGCTACACAAATATAAGTCGGGACCGCTAAGATTGATGTGATTGATGCGAGAGATGTAGGCCAAAAGTCGTATGCCTCAGGTTCGATCAATTTGCAAGCGTATTAAAATCTTGGGCCCCCAAAAAATCATTCCTTCATTCTTGTTAATAAATTGTAGCTGCATTTCGAATTGCTTTCATAGAAATTAAAGATGCATAAACAAATTACCTTTACCTTGCTTTAAGGTTCCAACACATACATTTTATTGATGGACTAACCCCTCATATAGCTTCTTGTAGCTTTAGATGGCTGATAGATCTTGTGAATCTGATAAATAGCTAATGGCATTAAGCTAAGTTGATTCAACTGCCAAGGAACAAAGAGAACAAAGATCTGTTTGGGCTTTTAGTTTAACAAAAATGCAAGTTTTAAAAATGTTTAATAGATTTTTATTTAAAGGGTTTTCTTCTTCTTTTGTTGTTTTTTGTTTTTGTGGTTTTGTGTGCTGCTTTTCCTTCCAATTAGATTGAGTTTGTCACGTTTTGTGGTTTGTAGTTCGTACAAATAGCGTACACAATATACCGAGGGTGTATACATATAGTAATATATTGATTGATTTATAACTATTTTGTATAATTGGTTTCAAATACTTTCAGTTTAATTTGTTGTCCAGATAGATTTGACACCATCGTGATGGTAATTTCTCTAGTACAATCCGTTAAACGTGCTTTCAATATTCAGTTTTTGTTGGATTTTCCATAGCTACGAATTTGTTTGTTTTGTTTGTTTGTGAGTTTGGTTCAGCATAAGCTACATAAGTAGTACATGTTTGGGTTTAGGTTTAGGCGTGTTGATTTGTGGTAACCGATTATCAAGCAATTTCAACTATGAGTGTACATACACTCGTATAATGTATAAGTGTGTATGTGTGTGGTTGTGTATATTGTATAGCATAAGTTTGTTTTTGGCTTTAATCTTAGATTCATTTTGTTTATACGTATATTTTTTGCATCAGCATCAGCTCTCCTACTGTTCCTATTGTTAGAGGTGTATGTATGTATGTATGTTTGTATGTATATAGTGTATGGATGTTTCTGAAGTCTTTCTGCAATCTGCTGATCTGCTGGTAATCGAGAGTTAAAAAATAATATTACTACATAATTAGTTGTTTTGCAAACGACATAAAAAACCTGCACACGATAAAACAATAATAATCATAATAATAAGGTGCAATAATAGCAGTAATTGCGGTACGTAATACGAAAATAATAAATTATAAACTTGAGATTACAACAAGACGACTGTACAGGCTTTTGGGACGACTTAGGAACTAAACGAACTGAAAACATCGATATAACTGCCGAATTTCCATTCAACGCTTGCCAAAATAATAATAATTATAATAATAATAATAAAACATTTACATTTGCACAACATTCCTAAAAACCTATGCTCTAATCGCTATACAAATTTCCCTCTCGAATTTCAACTAATTCCATTACATCCTCGTCAGCGTCCTCGTACATCAGACATCCGCGGTTAGCTTATTGTAAATTTAACTATTTTAGATAACACCCGACACGGACTTCTCGTAAGGCGTGCCCAGGGTGTCGCGTCTGCGCGGCAGCGTGCCGCTGGCGGTCAGTGGAGCCGCCTCGGGGCAGCCCAGTCCCTCCAACAGCTCCACCAGTGCCGTCGTGTCCTCGACATTGTATTGTGGAGCCGGTATTCCGCCGTTGGCGGGTGGAGCAGGTGCGGGTACAGTTGTGCCCGCTTGCGCAGCCGCTGCGGCCTTCATCGACTTGGCCGTGGCGAGCGATTGGGCAGCCCGGGCATAGGCCAGGCACGTACGACCCTCGTGGTCCGTGTGCTTAATGTTGGCCCCGTACTGGAAAGGAAAACGAATAATCGTCAGTCAGGAAATGTTTTTGCATTCCCTTTGGGTTGGGAAACTTACCCATATCAGAAGCTGTGCAATGGCCAGGTTGCCTATGGCACAGGCCAGGAGCAGCGGCGTGCGCACATCCCGGGCGCTCACGTTGGCGTTGGTCACCTCCGCTGGGCAATTGGCCAGAATGGAAACAATCGACTTGATGTCGGCGCGTATCACAGCCTCAATCAGCTGCTGTCCCGGGCTGGGACTTGGGTGCGCCGATGAGCCACTGCCGAGGGATGTGAGGAACTCCTTGGCCTCGTACTTGCTGCGTATCCATCGCTCCTTCTCCTCGCGACTGGCCTGCGCCGTCGGCTTGGCCCGTTGTCTGGTGTTCGACTCCCAGACGGAGTTGGCCAGACTGTTGCCGATGGCCAGCATCACACTGAGATGGGGTGATCTGATGGAAGAAAAATATAAGGTTTAGCCATAAAGATAGCACAGAGTCGCAGGTAGCTCAATAACTTACGGCCAGTCGTCCAAGCCCAGGGAGCGAACCTTGGATATGTGCGAGCCAAGGTTGCGATGAATGCCCGAGCACTCGATGCACATGAGCACGCCCAGGTTGAGGCTGGCCCATTCGGGATCTGCGATGAGAAAGAAGAGGGAGCAGAGAGCAGAGGGTGAGATTCGGCACAGATGAGAGCTGCTGCAGCTGTACTTACTTGGCGCTCCACAGTCGACGCAGTGTCCGTTGCCCGGCACCCGCTGACGTATGGCTAGCATGGCAGCCAGATCTGTGCTGGTGGCCTGCTTGGTCTTGCTGCTCTCGATGCTCTGCAGGCTCTTGAAGATCTCCTGCTCCACGGCGGCCACCCACTCGTCGCGCTCCTCCGAGTTGGCTGCCTCGAAGTGCCACTGCTTGGAGTCCAGCGAGACGATGTAGAACTCGTAGCCGTCGTTGTCGTCCGCCTCGCTCGCCTTCACGCTGCTGCTCTTCATGCGGCGGTGTCGCTTCTTCACATTCGGCGTCTGGGCCTCCAGCTTGCTGGCCGTGGCCGTGGCCGTTGCCGCAGCCTCTCCAGCAATAAAGGTCTGCGAGTTGGAGTTGGACATGGCTATGCCCTCGTCCCCGCTCGTCTGCTGTGAGCTGTTCGACTTGAGGGGCTCCGTTCCGCCGGCAGCAGCTCCCGATCCAGCCCCCAAGAGGGAGAGCTTTTCGCTCAGCTTGCGCTGATTGTCCTTGGCCAGGGTGAGGCAGCCAATGCCGTCGCTCAGCGTGTTCTGTGCCCTCTGGCCGTTGGCCAGGAGCGAGCTGGTCAGCGCACTGTTTGTGATGATGGACTTGGAGCCGCGCGGCTTCTGGCCCGGCACCTTCACCGTCACGTACTGCAGCGGAATCTCCTTGCCGTGCACGTCGTCCATGTAGTCGTGCAGCGATGGGTGGTACGTGAGCCGGCCGTCGTCGCACAGCGTCACGTACTTCTTCTTCCACTCCTTGTTCAGCGACTTGCTGGAGCGCTTGTAGAGATAGCCCTGTTTGATGGGAATGGAGCGGCCGCTGCCCAGCTCGCTGCCCTTCGGCTCCTTGTCCTTGTCGGCCTTCTTCGACGAGGAGGGAATGAACAGGTTCGAGCGTCGCCGGCTCTTGCGACTCGTCGTGGGCGTCGAGGTGGGCGTCGGCAGCTCCTTTCCGGGCGGCGGTGCCAGGTCGCGTGGATCTCGCAGCTGCACCTGGGAGCAGTCGCCCTGCAGTGAGCTGACCGCAGCTCCAGGATTGTATTTGGTAACGTTGTTGTTCTCGTTGGTCGCCACCGTCGTGCAGGAGGCCGAGGACGAGCTGCTCGCCTGCAGGGACCACAGCTTCTGCTCCGCCTGAGCAAAGTCCGCGCTCATCCGCAGCGGCAGCTGCTGCTGCTGCTGTCCCCGTTGTCCGTGCATTCCATGGTGTGCGTGTTGTCCATGTTGTCCGTGTTGTCCGTGTTGTCCGTGTTGTCCGTGTTGGCCGTGTTGGCCGTGCTGTCCGTTGGTGGGCGCCTGGTAGGGTGCCAGTCCGAGGCGACTTCCTTGCGGGGTTGTGGGCCTGGGCGGCTGCACTGACGGCGGCAGCGGCAGGCGTTGCGACAGAATCTTCTGGCAGGCTGTGTGGACCGAAAAGGAGGGGGAACGGTTAGTTCTGGAAGGGACTCTTCTGTCGGGAAGGCACTCACCGTCTTGAAAGACGCGCTCCACGTTCAGGCCGTAGGTAGCGCAGGTCTCGTAGTAGGAGCAGCGCTTCAGATCGCTGGCCAACTTCCTGGCGCGGGTGTCGTCAATCACACGCGGATTGCGCTCACTGATGGAATCTGGAAAGGGCAGGCAGGGCGTAAGTGGGGGGAGGGCCAGCAATGAGAGCGATGCGACTTACCTTGCGTCCCCACCAGTATCATGGGTATGTCCTGTCCGTTCCGAAAATGCGCCATTTTCGTGTAGTAATTGTAGACGGTATTGAAGCTGCCCTCGTTCTCCAGGCTGAATACAAAGATTACCGCATCCACCCAGCCAGCGAACTGTAAGGAGAATGTCCAAGGGAAAGGTATGCATGAGAAAGGGCTACCTAGGGATTCTGGAATCTGGAAACAAAGGGAGAGAGCGAGCGCTGCGAAAACAACGCTTTGGGACGCTGCGAGTCCTTGACTTTGCGGGCTTTGTGGGCTTCCGGGGGGGGAGCCAGAGCGGGGAGTAAACAAAGTGCGGCGTCTGGCGGAAGCGCGCAAAACAATGGACCCATAGCCATAGCCATAGCCATAGCCATAGCTATAGCCAGGCGGGCTGCTCTCCTCTCGGCGGGTCTCCTTTTCTTGTGGGCCTGAGACTCAGTCTGTGAGGAGTCTCTGGCTGTGCAGGACTCAACACACACACTTGAGAAAGTCGCTAATGAAGCACTTGAATGCCCTGCTCCTCCTCCTGCTCCTCCTCCTGCCCTCCTCCTGCCTCTGCTCCTTCTGTTCTGTTCTGTTCTGTTCCTCTCGCCAGACGTGTGTTAAACTTTTTAATGATTTTCGTTCGTATGCCTCTCCACACATAAACACACGCACACAGACACACAGGCACACACACTCTCTCGCACACAATCGTACTGTCGGAGTTTCGAAGGATAATGAACTTTTATGCGGCATGTAAACAGCTCTGGCTGCCTCTGCTTCTGCTTCTGCTTCTGCCTCTGTTTCTGCTTCCACTTCTGTTTCTGCGCAGGATTCCCCGTTTCCTGCCAACGGAGTTCTCTCTATTGATTGACTGGCCATCGACTCAATTCAATTCGATTCGATTCGACTCGACTCGAATCGGATCCATTAATTATGCATTAAAAGCTTTTTACCTTGCCGCCGGACCTGGCCTAAGTGTCCCCGATGAATAATTTATGTAACTCTGTTCAACTCCATTCGGGTCCTGTCCTTTTCCTGGCCGTTGTCGCTGTCACAGGAGGAGCAATCGGAAAAAAGCCGCCCGCACGCGACGCCAGTCGACAAACAACTGGCTTCGAGAATGTCCTGGCAACGACGAGGACAACGGCGTCCTCGTTGCTGTGTGCATTGTGTGGTGGGTGGTTGGGTTGCTCGATGCCTGCTACAACGGTCGGATGGTGGGAGGTTGTCTGCCCCCTGCCCCTGCCCCTGCCTCGCCGCTGGCGTCGCGCCATCATGGCCACTTTTTATGATTTGTTGTGAAAATGTATGCAGAGGAAACAGCAAACAGGAAAAAAAAAGAAGCAGCAGCACAAGATGCTGCTGGAGAGACGAACGGAACACAACAACAAAAGGATAATGGAGAGGGGAAGGGGGAGCAAGCTAAAAATCTGCACCAAATGGCGACGAAATGCTGAGTCCCACACAGATACTCGATACAATACATGTCCGTATCTGCATCTGCACATACATATGTGTGCGGCTGTATGGCTGGATGTGGGGAAAACAACAACACAGGAGGAAGCAACACAATGCGGCTCACAAATATGGAACCAGTGTGCTCCACTCCTGGCTACTTTTCCTGGGTACCAACTAATCTTTATAAGGGTATTGCTGTTAACACACGGGACCACGAACTGCTGACTTTGTCCCACTTCCTTTATCGAACCTAAACCTAATTTACCTCTGTATATTCCATGTCTTATGCACCTAGCTGTAGCTAGCTGTACAGTATATTATCAGTATATATTTTATTAGCTCTATATTATCAATTCCAGTTATTTTTCCATTGCATTTCTGGTCACAGTATTTTACAATCTGTTTTGCTACTCACTACTGCCATTTCTTCTTAAGCTTCCATCCCATCCGTGGCTATCAACACCACCCCGAGTGTATCCCCCACTCGCATCCTTCGCAATGAGGAATCGACAACTGCTAGTCGCGTGCAATATTGTTGTCGCTGAGTCGTCGAGACACACGAGACGATGTCGTGTCTCGTAGTGCTATATGGTATATGGTAATGATATCCTATGCGCTGGAGCAAACAGAAAAACAAAAACAAAAACAAAAACATAAACAGCTACGGAGGCTACCCCGACCGAGTGGCGACGCGTCGCTCATGGAATGAATGATTTCATCCAAAGTTCTGCGACTGTTACTGCGCGAGGGTGGGCTTTCGGGCTGGCTCTTGCCACTACGTGGCACTCGTATGTGTATTGCTGTTGGAGTTGTAACTTGGTTGGTGCCAACTCTCTCTCTCAAAAATGAGGGTTATTTGCTCTATGAAATGTGAAATATGGGTTTATTATGTCCCATAAAGATGCGAGTGACACGGGTTAGTCAAAGAAAGTGAAATAATATCAGGGGCCTGGGCTGGCGGAGGCAGCGAATGGCGAAAAGTGGACGATTTTGTGAATTGGAAGAAATTACAAATGTAGCAAAGTTTTGGGCGGGGTTTGGACTGATGTACCGCCATGGGGCGGCTTGATGGAGACGGCAGCCAGCAGTGTGTGCGCTCAAGTGAGAGGGTTGATTGACAGTTTGGCATGCAGTGAGCGGTGACGATTATGCAATATGCAGGCGGAGAAAGCTGCAACTGTGTGCAATGAGGCGGCAAAAAATGGTGCACAAAAAATATTATTATTATTCCACCATTCCCAGTGCATCCCAAGCTGTAGGTACATATATTCAACTCTGAGCCATTTCAAACTGTGGATAGTATAAAACTGTAGCCTTCTAAGCTGAAAAAATTTAGAAGCCATAACTCGAAGCTCAATTTTATGTCACTTCAAACTGTAGCTGTCCTCAAACTGTACCACTCCTATAAATTTAAGACTGTAAACGATCAATGGTAGGGTTGCTCTGAAAGCTTTCAGCATTAGCAAAGCTTTAACTGTGAAACTGTTGTTTTTGAATCGTTCGATTGAAACCAGTTGCTCACAAACTTTAAAAACAGATTTCTCTCTCTCTCTCTGATTATTCCGAAGTTTCGAATTGAACTACTCGAAGCGCAACTCTCAAACTATTCAACTGCTCCTCTGCAAAAGGATCCTCTCAAACCTTCTAGCTTCGATGACTCTGAAACCCCTCATCCTGAAAGGGTTCCCTTCCCCCTAAAGCCCTAATCCTTTGTTGTGCGTCCATCAACGATAATTTAGGTCAATCATCTGCTTGACTTGCAAAAATTCCAAACTTCTGATTAAACAGAACGAAAACGGGAAATGCGAAATATGCAATTTGAATAAAAATCGCTAACAACGGGAGACAGCAGACAGCAAAAGAGGGAGAGAGAGAGAGAGAGAGAGAGAGAGAGATATAAGGTAGGAATAGAGCATGGATTATAGGGATATTATTGGGATTTCGAGGGTCGCGTGTCTGGCACATTTTTTATATGTAAGCAACCCCCTATCCCCACCCCCTGGGTGTAAATAGAACCGCAAATAATAAAAAAAAGAATGAAAGAAAAGCGAAAGCAGCTTAAAATTTATAATCCTCACTTTCACCCTTTAAGCCGCAGGCGCAGGATGTCACCCAGGGGGTAGGGAGTAAACCAGAGGCGGGGATCACAAATTGCAATTGCAAAAATGTAAATTTGCGAATTGCGAATTGCGAATCGTGAATCGTGAATCGCAAATCCTTGCGCACAATACATACTCGCGCTCTCGTAGAGCATATCAAAGCAGAGTGCCGAACAACAAAAGCTCCTTGAGGCCTGGCCTTGGGGGAATCAATGAGTCAAGGCCCCCGTTGAAATGTACATAACCATAAATAGCCCGTGGTTAAGTTGCCTTTAATTATGCCAGCTTCCCAACCTCCAACCTCCACCCTCCACCCTCCGGCCTCTTCCACGATCCATCCACAGAAAATAGCGACAAAAGACCAATTCAATTGCATTCGGTTCGAGGCAAGAGAAACTTTGATTGTCGAATGCAACGGCAGTGGCAGCGGCAGTACGAGGGGTTGATTGGTTGGCTGGTTGGCTGTTTTGGGCCCAAGGTAAGCTCGGGGGTTGGCAATCAGCCGAGTGCTCGTCATTGTGTGCGACACACTGCGCAACCTTTAACCTTTGTCCAGGCCATAGCAAGTACTGCCGTCTTTCGTCCGGCTATTGGCGCTCTGCCAAGTGATGATGATGTTGTCTCTGCTGCTGTTGCTGCTGCACATCACGTTCCGACCTGTCATAATGGTCAGCAGAAGCAGCAGCAGCAGCTATAGGAAGAAATGGTGTCAGAACAAAAACGCTTATCGACATTGCGACAAAGTTTTGGCTCCCACTGTAGCCTGTCTGCTGCCAAAGGTCGGAGTTCGATTGAGAGAGTGACTCATGCCCGCCCCCCAGTACATACCCCACATTCTGTGGAGTCAGCGAATGAAGTGAACTACCGAAAAGAACCATGCGAGAGGAGTGGCGAGGATAACTTGGATAAATGCCAGCGAAAACTGTGGAAATGAAACAAAAAGTCATACAAAAGAGAGACTGCAGTTCTTGGCAAACCAAAGAACCAAGAGACCAACCATCCGAGGGTTCTGCTCAGGCATTTCAATCAAATTATATTTATAAATAAAATAAAGTTTGTTCCCATCCCAGGCCCCCGCAACCTGCCACCAGTCGAACAACCACCCCAGAAGTTTCCCCGTTGATCCCACGTTGACCTCAATTCAAATATTTACAAGATGATAAGGGAAAATTTATTTGTCTGCTGCGGGGGAAAACTTTCTTGTCAGCAAAGTGCTACCCCCGGGAACCGCTTCCTAGTTCCCTCGCAGGCAATACATCATTTCTCCATTCCCATGAATATTTGATGGGTAAAAACAAAAGCAAAAACGGAAAGAACCCCCAAATACGAATACAAACACGAATATGAATACGAATACGAGACTCACCTGCATTTCTGGAGCTCCACCCTCGTCGCGTATGAGCAGCAAGTAGCTCTGGCCATCGATGAAGACCTCCTTCTTGAAGCGACCGCCCTCGGGCGATTCCTCCTGCATGTAGGAGCCGGTGAGGTAGCGATGGACCAGCGCCGACTTCCCAGAGTTCAGGGAGCCGACGATTCCCAGCCTCAGATCGGGCACCGATCTCGAGATCGTCCATTCCTGGCTGTTGACGAATGAATCTGTAACGGGAAAAAGAAAAATCAAATCATCATTAGCAAGGAGCGTCTAGTCCAGGGAGAAAAAACAAGTTAGCGGCGCGTAATTAGCAATCTCAGAGAACCCGTTCGCGCCGCTCTCCAAAACATCCTTTTGACCTACATGTCGCCCGGCCAAAAGTTCCCGTCGCTCCCTCCGCTCTCTTAAGAACCCATGCCCAGCACAGCCCAGCCCAGCCCATCCCATCCTCCCATCATTAGCCAGCCATTCCTCCTTATGCAAATGCCGAGTCCCTCCCAAAGCACTGGTACTGGTACCTACTCGTACATCATCCTTCGGTTGCTTGATTGACAACATAAATGTGGAATAAATGGGTGCTGAGCTTCCTTTCAATTTTCGGCAATTGTCTGCTCGTCCCTCGACGTGTGCAAACTTTTAAATTGTCAGTTTGCCTGAACACTTTTCTGATTTAAATTAGCTCATTGTCAAGTCCCAGACCCGGTCCCAGTCCCAGCCACTCACTCAGTCAGACGTAAGATATTTCAGGCCACAGTCACTGTGTCAGCTGTGTTCCCCTCTGGGCTTCAAGGTTAGAGCTGTTGCTGCTGCTGCTCCTGTTGCCATGGAATATGGTCCATAAATGGCTGGCACCTTAAGAGGAGATCTCGATATCCATGTGATCATAGCGTGCCTTGCTGGTAAGCATCGGGGAAGGGAAACAGCTGCTTTAGAGGCCAGTCCAGCAGTCATGTGCGCCAAAATGCGTGAGCCCGGGCACAGGGAAAAGCTCTCGATTATGTGTGGAAAGCCCCTACAATTTCCGCTGGGCTTCACGCCCGAGTGTAACTATCTGTTAAGCCCCGAAATGAAAACACCTTCGAGGTGCCTAAATAAATCTTCCCAAGCTGGTGGGTCTTCAGCCAACCCAACCCGAGCCATTAGATTTCCGAGTGGCTGCGATCAATTTCAAAAAGGGGCTTCAACGGTGGAAGGGGCAGGGGCAGGGGCAGGATCTTTTGAAGGGTAGAAGGAGTGACAATGTGTCTGACCAGTTGACCATTTGAGTAGTTGTTGCCTTGCCGGCGGTGCGATGATTTACTGCACCCAAGCAGGCAGGCATATACATATGTGAAAATTGCTCTATTATGAGTTCTTAAGAGTTGCTTAAGTAAACACTGAGCTGAGAAGATGGACATCGAAATCGACAGCGACATGGCCATAGACATGGACATGGATACGATACGTTTCTTGTCAGCGTCTCAAGGGGTTGCCACGGCCGGAACTTGTTTCCAGGCCGCTTGTTAATCGACTAAGGCGATGCTTGATGGTCAGGGAGGACGACAGGCCGAAAGACAAGTACTGAAATAACAAGTTCAACTGGTTTGCACTCTTACCTCTGGACCCCGCTGACCAGAGCGCAAAATTACAAATTAAAACGAAATAAATATGCCTTTGTTGTGTTTATATAATACTGGAAATACCGAAATAAATCCGAGAAAAGGAGCACATTTCAATTGTTGAATGAAATTGAAAATGATATGCGCAGCGCAGAGAAAAAATTAGCGCGGTTTTGCAATTTGCATGCCCCTTCTTCCCCTTTTTCCCCTTCTTCCCCTTTTTCCCCTTCTTCCCGTCCCAACGAGAAGAGGGTGCCAGAATGGATTTCAGATCAAACATGGCGTAGTAGTGGCAACGGCAACGGCAACGACAACTGGTTCCTCGTTCTGGTTGCTCGAATTGTAACAAATTGCGTGGATTGGTTTCTGCGTGGAACAATATCCCAGCTAATTAATGGCTCGCCATTAGCCTAAAGCGCTTAAAGTTACAAGCCAGATACAAATGCATCTTTAAGTTTGACTAATGATGTCAAACGTCTGCTGGCGATGGGATCGGGATCGTTATCGGGATCGGGATCCGAATCGGAATAGCGATCGGCTTATGTGTGAAGTTCAAACCGCCAGTCCCAGTCCCAGTGCCAGTGCCAGCCCCGGGGCGAGTCACACACGAAACACAACCCCTTTTTTCCCCGCTGTAACCATCGCTGTAACTCTCGGGGGCAGGGCGGGAGGGGGGCATCGTCTTTATCTCTCTGGGATCGTAACTCAAACGCATGTCAAATGTCGCCTCCGTTGTCAAAATTCCCAACATAATTACGTATGCAAACTAGCTGCGACCCGAAAGACATTCGATTTCTAAATATTCCATTTCTTGAGCGTTTCTTGTGCCTGGCTCTAGCCCGGGATCTCCCTCTCCTGATACTTACGGGGAGAAAGTGTCCGTGTTTGTTGTGCGAGGAAGGGGTTTGTGTTGGGATTGTTTTTTACTGTTTGTTTGTATTTATACTCTTTTTGCCATTGAGGGGCGATAAGAAGGCTGCCCATTCCATCCCATCCCATCCCATTCTGTGTCCCGGATTTACAGCTATTGATGTGGGTTAAGCATTTTAATTAGCGAACAATATGAAAATTTCATTTCCCTTCTTTGGAATTGGAAACATGTTTCCTTAGCAACCAGCTGAGCTGACCCTACGACCCCCCCAAGACTTGAAGATACACATACATACATATGTAGATAGCTTAGTTTTATGATGACTGACAGCAGCTGTAAGCGAAGCAAAGCGAGACAGACAGAACCAGGCTGAGTTTTATCACCTTGAAGCGTGCCATCCATCTCATCTACCAGGGAACCAAACTGATATGCCCAGGCACTTCGTATGTCCTATTCGACCAGGACCAGGCGCCAAGGATTCCCATAAAATGTTTATGGCCGTTTAGTCGTTACGGTAGCCGCAACTGTCATTGCTTTAACCTTTACGACTCCTCCACGGAAAGGGACAGCAAATAGAACTGTTAAACGTTTTAGAATTCCAGACAAAAATACCTCAGTTGGAGGCATCAGAGACACATCTGGATAGGCCACTGGAATTATAAATGGAACAAGCTGCAAAAGAGAGACTGGCCCTGAGTGCAGATTACGGGAGACCCCGAACCGCAATTTACGCTAATTTGATGCCACAAATGATCCCCTTCCCTTCCCGCTGGCATCCATCCTCTTGTGCTTAGCCATAGAAATATTCAAAATATTCCACGGATGTTTTGATCCCTAAAAATGGTCAAATAATGTGATTTTAATAAGCCATAACCAAAATAATGGAATATTATTCCATTTGGCTCGCCTTTCATGGACTGGTGAATAGATCTCCGGCATAAATCATCATAGGAGTTGCATACATACTCGCGCGCTCGTATTTGCATTGGCCCACGAAAACCTACGAAAATATTTAGGTAGGAAAAGGCTGGCTGTGTCGACAGAGTGTCCAAGAGTCCAGCCGAAGGAGAGAGGGCAAGATCTGGCCATAAATCAGGCCCGTGTTCAGCCATGAGCCACGCTGTGTTGGCGTTCGGTTCCTTCTACCTTTCTTCCTCCGTCCGTTCGTTCGTTCTTATGCTCATTTCCTATGTAGGACGAGTGCACATCTGCTCCAAAATCTGATTTACTTTCTCTTTGTTTCGCCTGCCGTTTGTTTTTGTCCAGAGATCGGTGAAAGAAGATCACAGAAACTGGTGGCAAAGTTGCAAGCAAAAACGAGAGACAGAGAGAGTGAGAGAGAGAAGGCCTTTTCCTCCTCATCCTCAATCCTCACCGTCTTCTTTTTCGACTCAACAAAGGCAAAGAAAATTAGCAAAGCCCACAAATGATACGAAGCAAAAAAAAAAAAAAAGGGCGATCGCACAAACAAGATTACAAGAGGAGTAGGCGAAAGAGGATGAGAATGGGAATGGGGACTAAGAATGAGAATGAGGAGGATGTCGCCGACAGGAAAAGGTAACTAAAATAAGGAATAAATAAGGTGAAAGAGTCTCGAGAGGCCTTGGCAATGCTGTTAAATTATTTACAGAACTGTAACGATATTTTGAAAATACATGTAGGTTGTGGCGCTTAATTCTAGTAGGAGATATCCTTTAAAGCTTATCCCTAAACGCCAGAAATACCTTTGCGCAAACAGTTTCATTTGGCCATTAATTACAACGCAAAACAATAAGCTGAACGTACCCCATCTAAGGCATCGCTCTTCCAACTGTTGCCCCCCTTGGCCCGACAGAGACGGTAGATAGAAAAGTTCTGCACGAATGATTGCGACACTTCAAGGTCCGAGCTGGGGCTGGGGCTGGGGCATCATCAGCGTCACGCAATGTGAGAGGAGGGATGGGTGCGCCTCGGTTACGTGGATGGATACAGACGTACATACCTACGTGCGATACACACGAGAGTACGAATACTCCTTCCTAGCGGAATGTGTCTGCTTCTGACAGATAGATTCGACTCGTGTGTCACGTGCAGGCGGTACTTCGTATGAAGATTCTGTTCAGTCCCTGAGCAATCCACATGACTTCATCGGCCAAAAATCCAACAGAACAGTAGGAATTGACACACAAATTCACGCATCATTAGCAAGCGCGCAAACAAACAAATAAACAGATGGGAACGAGTAATCATGCAGGCATATACATACATATGTGCAGGGGAGTGGGGACTGAGCATAGGAGGGAAGATCTCCTCGGATCCGGACTCGGACTCGGGGGCGATCAAGTTCGTGTACAGAAGACAACAACATGTGTTGGAATTTGATAAATTGGATCCAAAGGCGGGTCGGATGATGGCAAAATTGAATCAATTTGCTGTCCAAACAACACACAGTTGAAGGTCAATCCACACGAAAGAGAGGATGGAAGATGGAACTCCGGAGGCCACGCCCCGAGCAATTCAAAGGGTTAAAAGACCTCCCGATCCCGTTCGACCCTTAAGGATGCTCTGTCATTGGCTCAAAGATTCCTCTCCTCAGGTAATAAAGCATCTTTGCGCCGCAGATCTTCAATGTCGTTCTCCATTTTTATTCAGCAAGAAACTTGTTCTCAGATCAACTCCAATGCATATGTGTAGATGTGTGGTATGCATCTGCATAGACAATTTCTTTGTTCATTTTATTTTGTGTGTCGCTTATCAGCTTTGGAGCCAAATTGAA